AGTCTGAAGCCTGCTTATATGAACTGCTATCCAGCGCAAGTTTTATTGCAGATTGTGACTACTCTGAAAAAGTTGCGGCCGATTCCTCTCACGTAGAAGGGGGAAATTTGTGCACTTAGCGTGAGTTTGAGTGTACCTAATGACAGTGGCTTCGCAAAGTGCGCAATTAAATAAGGACCGGGCGTCCACGCCCATTTGTGGACATAATGACAAATAGCCGCGCGACATTTCGGACATTAGAAGTTGGCTCCAATGGATGCAATTTTCCCATGAGCAACTGACGTTTATTTTTTTCGGGAAGGACGCCCGAGAATGCTGGGCGGTAAAGTGAAATGCCAAAGGACTAATGGAGCAGTTGTCAAAATGGCTAACTTGGCATTCTTCCTTTGTTAAAATATATGGGATTCAGCACCAATAATATGGTTTCATCAGTCTAGAATCAGATCCGCATTCTATTAGACGGTTTCCAGCGCTACGTAGATGATAAGAGCCCAGCGATTATACTTAGACGTATGCTTTCAGCTTGCAGTCAATTGACAGATTGTACGGACTCTGTTAATGGAATGTGAACCAGATTGGTAGGTCGAATTAGAAAACCCTTGTGCAATTGAAAACAACAATTGGAATGGGCAGAGAAAAAAATTGCGAACACTCCATGAGGCAATTCAAGCCTGTGCAGTGGTTTGAAGGGATCGAGGTCCAATTTCGGTTCCTGAAGGAACGTTTACAGTGGCTAAAGAGGAGTGAAAAAACAACAATATGATAACATGGCCTATTGAGCCTTAGTCACGATCTGAGACGACACACTAATGGCAAAAAGTGCCCTCGTTTTGTTCTGAACAGCTGTCTAGATTACGTTTTCCCCGGGGTTATGGTACGTCGCAAGGCTATTAAGTTGGAGATCAACGGTTGCCCTCATCGGTTCCTCAAAAATCAGAAGGCTTCACGGGCTAGACCAAATGACGGTCAGGCCTGCGTTTTTCACGCTTATTGGCAAAGGCACGTAGTTACCCAACTCCGCTTGCAATGCTAAATCTTTCACCTTTCGCGACTGTTAGCACCTGTGCTCGAGTGTCTGCCGACCCCAGTTCAGTCTGGCCAATCACCTTCAAGGCTGACTCACGCAGGGCCTCACTGTGACGACTGCCGCGCTCTCACATTTCGGACGGCGCCCT